ATTAACTAAGGAAAAAAAACTTGCCTACCAAATAGGTGGTAAGAGAAGATAGTCAACAAGCATTTACTACCTACCGTGAGCCAGGCTAGGGCTGGGGTGCAGGACTATAAGAGTGCATAATACACAGTCTCTTTTCTCAGGTACTTCACTGTGGAGGATGACACATGTCCACCCACAGGCAGAATCATGGGCCATCATCCTGAGACCCTAAAGAGGCAAAGAGCCTCTTCCAAGGCAGTCAAGAACAGTCAAGTTTGACCACCAAGGTCAGCTGAGCCAGATGCGGGAGCTCAGCCTCATTACTGAGCGAGGGTGGGACAGTATCAAGGTGGCCTGCAGCAGTTTTACTCAGCCAAAAGTGAAATTAGGGGATAAATTGCTTGGGGATGCCCCATTCTTGAGGGGTTCCCCTGGTAAGCATAAGGGGGAATCCCCTTGAATATGGTGGAACCCCAACAGTAAGCATAGTGGCTAGAGGGGAGAACAGATCCCTACTTACTAGCAGAAGACTGGAAGGGGTGGGGGAATTCTTAAAAACTCCATTTACAGAATAGGAGATCCCCTTCTGGTATTCTCATCCGGGGTATTCTGAGACATCTTTGGTTACTATCCCTGTGAACTTTGTTTGTGATTCCATCTTCCTTCAGGGTTTAGAGGAAGACAACTGAATATATAATTATACGCATAGAATGACAGAAGTATAAATACACACACGGGCATATACCACACAAGCACACTGCTTGGCTGTTAGGAGTTCAGTGGTTCCTGAATTGAAGTCATTTATTTGTACCCCTGGAATCTAATTGTTGTTCATTCCTAATTAGTCCACATTTAAACATAATTCCAGGCAGAAGATAATGTAAGGTAAGATAGATGTATGAGAAAAATTCACTGCTGACACAATGCCATTATGATTCTAACTTTTTATATATATTATATATATATATATATGTATTTTTTATTTTTATTTTTATTTATTTTTTATTGATTTCAGAGAGAGGAAAGGAGAGGGAAAGAGAGAAACATCAATGACGAGAGAGAATCATTGATTGGCTGCCTACAGCACGAACCCTACTGGGGATCGAGCCCTCAACCCTGGCATGTGCCCTGACCAAGCATCTAACAATGATTTCCTGGTTCACAGGTCAACGCTCAACCACTGAACCATGCTGGCCTTGCTGAACCCCAACATTGATGATTCTGGGACCACCAGGAAACAAAAATAATGTTGCTGGCATTAAACTTAGTTAGTGCCTATTACGTATTAGACATATAAGATGAAAAGAAGTAAAGATATGAATTTAACAGTCTTGGAATGAAAACAACCTTTGAAGTTGAAATCAAAATTCTCAAGTCCATTTTCACTTCCCATTACCTTAGTCCTAGATAAGCAATTAACTTTAGTAACTCTCGCCTCTTTTTATGGGGGAGGCAGTGCTGGTTAAAATATAATAAACAATGCATTTATTTGCAAAGTGCCTGGAATTTAAAAAATGCGTTAAGGACAAAGCACAGCATTATTATTACATTCTTCCATATATTCCATGGAAGCACATATTAAATGCATCCCAGCAGGCAGAATCCTCTCATTTCTCCAAGGTACAAAATAGGTCAACATCAGAGATTCTACTGCCCTAAACTTCCCAACTACTAACACAAAGGAGGATAAAAATTTTAAAAACCCCACAAACTGTACTATCTGAGGACCTATATTGGAATTTCAAGGTGATGATCACTGTTGGCCAGGTGACAATATGATCATTACTGGAAAAATTACCCAAAACCAAAATATTTCTTTGGCAGGTTAGTAGTATCAGTCTCTACATTAAAATTACATTTTGTGTATTACATAGATACTAAAATTGCAGTGAATTAAGTAGAAGTTGCTTTGAGTAAATCTATACAATCAACAGTAGAATCTGGCTGTGCCTGCGTGGGTGTAGTCTGTTTAAAAATATTAAGATAGCCTGCCTGGCGGCGCATGCTCAGTGGTTAAGCATCAACCTAGGATCCAGGAGATCCTGGTTTGATTCCAGGTCAGGGGGCACATGTCTGGGTTGTGGGCTTAATCCCCAGTGGGGGGCTTGCAGGAGGCAGCCAATCAATGCTGACTCTCTCATCATTGATGTTTCTCTCTCTCTCCCTCTCTCTCTCTGAAATCAATAAAAATATATTTAAAAAGTAAAAATATTAAGATAAATTTTATAATACCATGTCCATGAAATCTGTTTTCTAAAGTTAATCTTGAAAAACATACCATATTACATATTCTACATTATATATTCAAAGCTTTAAACACTGTTATTTTAAAAATAGAATCTTAACAGAATCATAAAACTAGAAGGTCTAAATATTGTAGCACATGCTCTTTATAGAACACATGCAACTTTCCATTAATATATAATACAGAAAATTAAAACCTCTAACACTAGGTAAACTATAACTGCAGAGTCCATATGTATGTCTCATTTTTTCTTTGCACATCCTAATATACATATATTAATGTAAAAATGTAAATAAATATCCTTTTCCACCCAATAATTATCTTAAATATGTTTTATATTAGTTTATAATTAAACTTTTAATATATTTCTTAAAAGAGTAAAAAGCCCCTTCATAGTTTGATAACATCATTTTTACCTGAAAGAGGTTTGAATAAAAGTAATTTGAGATTTCACATGTTAAAATTAGTAAAATGAATCTAAACACTTCAGAATTTGCTAAGTTTAGCACATTAAAATTTTTTAAATTAGTGAGGGCTCTAAACTGGAAAGCCTTTTTCTGAAAAACTCGATGAGGATTATGAATTTCATTTCCAGCTCCATCTATTCTAATCATTCTAAATTCCATATGCGATGTAAACAGTTAAAAAAGTCCTAGAAATGGATTCCTGTGTCTGAACAGTGATCAGAGCCCCACATGACGTCCGTGTGAGCAGACTCCTCCCCGCTCCTGGGGAAAACCCTGCCTAATATTTATAACGTTATGACAGTGTAATACTCACAAGGTGGTTGTAGAAGTATAAACACCACTGCGGTTATCTGATTGGCTGCTGGTGATGTAACACCCATGTCAATACTTCCCAGTGAACGCACGTGTTCGACCTTTTATTTAAATTTCCATTTCATCACAGCAATAAGACACTCGGGGCGGTGCGTTTCGAGTGAAACGATTGTCGCCTGGGGCCGAGGTGCTGCCTGACACACACGAGGCGTCGCCGCCGGAGGTGTCCGTGGTTGGAGCCTCCCCGCGCGAAAGGCGACGCCCGGGCCAGCCTTTGTCGAGGAGCAAAATAAAATAAGTTCACTTCCTCGGGCGCCGCCGCCAGCCCCCGGCAAATGACACGGCCGGAGCGCCGCTCCCACCGCTCCCACAGTCATTTCCAAAGTCCCAGGTACACGCGCGGCGAGGGAAGGAAAATGAGCGTCCCGGGCGCGGGTAGGTGCGTGCGGGCGGCGGGGAGG